CACACTTTTCTGTTACAAAAAACCACCCGACAAATTATTAAATACTATGTCATTCATGCGTACTCGCGAATTCGACGTCTGACACCTGGACGTTTTCAGTTCGCGCCATATCGGCTTATTCCTCGCCACTCGGTATCTTGTAGATTACGGAATGGGACGAGTGTGCCGAATAGCATCGGGATCAATTCGTAAGTGTCCGTAGACTTAAGTCACGAGACACCATGCCTACCCGTAACCTACGTAAGTGTCCGTCACCTATTCGACCCTTTTCATTCAGTTCCGTAACGTCGAAGGCATCACTAGGTAAATTTGCACTTCGTTTCACGTAGCTCAGTCGGTTAGCTGTCGGGCTAACAATCCGAAGGTCGCGAGTTCGCGTCCGACGGATTCTCACAAAAACTGGTCGCTTGTCTTTGAGTCATGTGATAGCGACCTATGGCAGAGATCGTTGTGGTACTGTATTCTAGAGGTGCTCCCAGATGCTGGGTGCATGTCGTTGGATGATGCGTGTGTCACTGATGGATTCTGTGTGTAAGTGGAGATCAGATCCTGGGTGCAGGTCGTTAGATGATGTGTGTATCGCTGATAAATGCTGTGTGTTAGTCGTAAGCGGCATCTGGGAGTATATCTTTGGATGATGAATTGTGTGTCGCTGAAGGATGGTGTGTACATGTTGATGTTGGATGCTGGGTGTATGTCGATAGCAGAACCTGGGTGTAAATTGATAGCTTAAGTTGGGTGTATGTCGATAGCTAAAGTTATCTGTGTTGCTGATAGATAATGATGTGTCGGTTTATGGATGCTGCTGATTGCATATCACTGACAGATGATGCGGGTCCTGGTTACTGTGGTTGGTGGGCAAAACACGATGTCGCTAGCATCAGTGCAGGATGCAGAAACTTTGAGCATTGAGAAACCACCCAGCTCAGGTAAGGCGCCAAGGACAACAAACTGGGGAAATAGACGGAACTTATCCAAATCTTATAGTAGCCAATCACTGCGGATTCAACACCGTGTGAGGGGGGTTGGGAGGGGTCATGCTATGTATATTTTCCAACAGCGCGTTGCTGAACACGCTGGGAGCTGGAGTTTGCATGAATACGTTCATGAAAACATTTTTGAGATGGCGTTCAAATTCGGCATATAATTACATCAGTCTGGAACCACGACATATTTTCTTAATATTACACATATATAATATATTACACATAACACACACAATTCATGTGTGGTACATACCACGGTCGTCTTAAACAAACAGATCTAGAAGCCTACAAAGTACATGCCTTCCGCAATAGGGATACTGACTGTATTGTTGTTGAGCCCTGTGCAGTCAGTATGTATAATGGTGAGGCATGTTTTGTGGCTTATGTATTAATTTGGGCCAAACGAGATACATGAACCACTGGGACAGGAGGACAAAGGAACAGTCTTCATCAGTAGAGATCTCACCTGGAGTAATGAGACAAAAGATGATGTTTGGGCCCCAGGTACATATTTATTGCACAACTAGGTTTATTTATCATACAAGAAATATAATAAGAAAGAAAAAGGAAACGACATAATCGGGCAACTAATAATGGTGTACTCCAGTTCTATGGAACATATATAGGGACCGTGATAGAGTCGAGAGTTCGGGCGTAGCCTGGTTACAATTGAAAGGTTGAGAACAAACAGTATGGTCATAGCTTTGTTTGTTTGTTGTTTTTTGTTTAACTCCGCACTCAGCAATATTCCAGCTATATGACGGCGGTCTGTACTAATTGAGTCTGGACCAGACAATCCAGTGATTAATATCATGAGCATCGATCCACGCTCTTGGGATCGATAACATGCATCAACCAAGTCAGCGAGCCTGACCACCCGATCCCGTTAGTCGCCTCTTACGACAAGCACAGTCGCCTTTTACGGCGAGCATATGTTGCTGAAGACCTATTCTACCCCGGATCGTCACGGGTGGTCATAAGTAAACATACTTATCCTATATATGTGGGTAAGCAGTAAATCTAATGCCTATTATCAGGTGGTAGAATGGTTGATGCTAAAGTCTGTATAATGAGGTGATGGTTGAAACTAACCACATCCTAGCGGTACTTCGGCAAATATTAGCTATTTATTAAGTCTATGTATAACGGACTGTCCGAGACACGCTGTTACATTTGATTGCATAACACCTGGTTGTGGAGCCGGCTCACTCCCGACGGAGTTGTAGGATGGGTGTTGACGGCAGTCTGTGAAGTTCTTTGTCTCCTCATCAACACATTGGCTCCCTCTCATCATCAGCTGGTCTGCCAGATGTGTGCAACTTTGGTACTTCTTATAGCAAAATATAGTTAGCCGCAGAAATGACGATGTAAGATACAGGTCATGTTGGCTGATATATATAACAGGTAAGCTAATTCTAGTATCTTGAAATTTCAAGAAAAAATGGCCCTAAAAAGCTTCCGAAGGCATACATAACAGTACACCAACTCTCACCGTGAATTATTTATCACGATCCTCAGAACATCTATGCGGACGTCATATCATATGTTTAAATTGTTGAATTAGTAATATTTGAACTCTTTGTAAAGATATCTGACATTACTTTCAAAACTTGATATTCAGGCACAGAGTTGAGCTGAAGGCAAAAACTGTGGATTGAAGCAATTACAGGAGAGAGATATCGGAACAGATTTCACTGAGTGAACCTGCCGCCCTGACCGCCGCCAGATCCGTGCACAAAGTAGTCAATATTCAATCACCGGCGGCTGTGGGTGGATGACAAATGTTGAGAGGTGTCAACACGTACAATGTGGCATGGGGGTCACGGCATTAGCGAGGGACGTGTTCTTTTGGTAGAGTAAGGATGGGGATACTGTAGAGGCACGAAATTGGAGGGAGGTATTCTTTATGTAGCGTTTACTCCAATATACCCGGGTTGGCAGAGCGTTGTCTGTCAAGTCAATGTCGGTTAGAGTCTCGAAAGGCAGAGGTGTCAAAAACTTAATATCTTACAATACACAGCTAATGCAAGTTCGGTTGACGTGACAAGAGTGAGTGAGTGGTGCACCCACCCCACCCCACCCCACCCCACCCCACATCCAACTGCTGTAGACGTAGCTAGTGTCGCCCGATTTACCACAATTCTCCCGTCCCCCAAAGAGTACATTTTAAGACTCATTAAGCGTCATCAATTACAGTCATTATCAATATGTCTTACCTTGCATTGCTCATGCGGGGATTTCACACCTGTACCTTTTCCAGTGTGTATTTTTCCAAAGGAGTTGGATCGCCATAAATTAAACTTGCCCCTACCTAGCACAACAAGTAGTTCTGTTAAACCTTATCATTAATACGAGGGCCCTTTATCAGTCGTCGTGAACCAAGCCGAGTAGATTGTACCGTCAACACATACCGGCTTATCGAAAACCTTGGTTACTTGTACATGTCAATCTATGTTGCCGACCCCGACTGCCGTGTCCCTGCAGTGCTGATAGGATACCCTTGGTTTGCAGCAACACAGAGTACTTAATGAACAAGATAACATATACTGAATACATCAAATTGATTATAAGTGTAATTCCGTCTCGTGTAATCAATAAACATGTTTACTAATGCTAGAAACAGTTTATCAGTGTTCCTGTTATGGAGAATGTACATCGTTTGAGACTGAAACTGTATGATGATGTGAGATGATGCAATATGGCTGACAGCAGCTGTATGGCGATGGCGGGCGGTGGTGGGGGGGGGGGGGGGGGGGGGGGGGGTGAGGCAAGGAGGCAGGGTGTTGCAACGCCTTCACGTTACCCCGCAATATGACCTCCTTACTGGGAAATGGGTCGCCCCATGTCAGCAGATATCGGGACTAGTAACCCGATCTCCGTTCAGGCCATAGTGTTTCGTACTCTTGCTGACTGGGATACTTCATATTTTCTTATTGCTATTGCAAGCGGGAGAACATACGCCATTTACAATAAACACTTGGCAACATCTATGTGAAATAGCCGTATAGAGTAGAGACTGCCATTGCAGAGACTGGGGCAAGTGTCATGATGGGACAATGCTTGATAAATCATAGTCTCATGACAGATTGGAATCGTTCTTGCGACGTTCTATGAAAATTCACGCCAGTTTTCCTGAATGAGTCATACTGGAAAAGTATTTTACAATGGTTTAAGGTTTGCAATGAGTAGTAAACAAAATATAATGTCGCATTTTTGTGTGAAAACGTTCAGACTAGTTCTATCATAGTTCTACCCACAACATCACTGCCCAACAACGAACAGTCCGCCCTGTACGCGTTATTCAGGTAATCCCGTACCTATTACATTTTGGGTAGAAACGTTTTGACATTCTAGTTTGTTTATCAGAATTGCCGCATTATAATTGTTTTGTTTACTGTTATGTGTTAATGTTAGGTGTTACGTTCCTCGGGGTGTAAAAACATCCCCACCAGACGAGGACATCACTCGTAAATACCATGCATGTTATGTCTCCTTCACTATCGTTTTAAATTTCATATCCAACTATGTTACAAACGCATTTTACTTTCTTATATTAAGCATGAACGAAAGCGTGACTAATCTTGTATTGCTAGCAGCGAACACGGTACACGTCAGTTAGGAAATTTGTCTGTAATCCAATGTACAAGAAGGGGTCTTGTTTTGAATGTTTGCCCTGTTAATCTGACAGTGAGACAAAATAAAATGTAAAATCCAGCTTACAACCTGCCAAGATGTCCACTCTTGGTACACTGATACATAACACTACTTTTATAACTATCATACATTTGCAAAAAACTGTCTATGAAAGTAATTTAATCGGCCAAGATTAAAAGTAATGCAACTAAAAGCAGAGCACTAATAACCAGTATCAGTCAGCGCTCTGTAACAACGTGTGATAGCTTGCAAATCACCATGTCCGTAAACTCGGGGAATCGACAGGCATCAGACTGGACTATCATATTACAATGAATAATTAACAATAACGTTCGATCGCGGGAATGGAACTAGACTCACGCCTGTATGGGATGTCTTGAACCAATGTCTGTAACTGAAAGGAGGTTAGCTTCGTGTGCCCGTGTCCCGTGTCCCGTGTGTGTGAACGTGGGGCATCTTATCCAGTCATCCTGTCAGGAACATATTACACGTTATCATGAGATGTAGTCCTGTCAAACACTGTAAACCATTACTGGTTATGAGTATGAACTCTGATCTCAGGGAGTGAGGGGTGCGACAGGTGAAATCTTACCTTCAATTTCTGTCGTAGAGTAGTGTAGTAGTCTTATTCAGTGTTATGTTCACGTCTTCACTTGTCAATGTCACGGCTGACAGACACGGTCACATATACGTGTCAGGACTGTTTGTCACGAGGAGCAACCAGTCACTCTACCATACCAGCTTGTACAACACATCCACACATCCTCCTCCCATTGCGCCACGCTTCATGGAGCAGTTCAACTACGCTCCTCCGCCGGCGTCTTCATTCAGTGTTCACAAAGTTAGTTCCCGAGGCGGTGTGAGCAAATCTTTACTCTCTCACAAATAGCCAGTGCAACGCCTGTGTCCAGTTATCAGCAACAAGGGCTGTTTAATTCCTACAGCACGAGTCGCTATTGTTCCCTGACTAAACTCTGTATGACAAGTGGTCCCCGTGCCTCTCCCATCACACTTATACCTGTGTATATCGATCCCGAGCGACCCTGACTCGAGTCTGTACAGCAGCACTGCAACACGGACTCGCGTGTGTACTGTTGGCCAAAGCAATGGCACAGCGCGGGAAGCAGAGTGCAGTCACCATGGGATGCCAATGGTTAGCCAGATTTCTGGGCGAGATGCAAGTTGGTTAACTTATCAAGTTGTGAAATGACACGGTGTCGGGGAAGTATAACCATGAGTAAGTCTGGATCTACTGTAATCAGCGGTCGTTGACCGATACTTGAACAAATGTTTTCAATTGATATCCGCCTGTGAGATTTATTACGATTAACTAAAACCAAACAACTTCAGCAAATAACTGAAGAGTCGGTTTCCCATCACACTGTCAGGAAACACTTGTGATATTTTATCCATGTTGCCTTAGGGTGGTAATTTACTGTCAATTAAGGCTGAAGCAGAAATCTGGCAGCTGCCTTCTCGGTGAAAGGTAATGACTACAGTTAAGAATTCAGTATTTAGTATACGTGCACGGCGTTGTATACACTTCAAACAACCCGAGCTACAACTTCCCCCATCACCCCTCCCTTGCCATCGCTAGCTTGTTACTCAGATTCAATTACAGCGTCTCTTCCAGGGCATGATGAAGTAATACAGCTGCCACATACACTAAAGCAAATCCCAACAACCCATGCTTTTTTAAAGAAGCGCTAACGGGATCGGGTGGTCAGACTCGATGACTTGGTTGATGAATGTCATCGTATCCTAATTGCGTAGATCGATGCTCAAGATGTCAATCACTGGATTGTCTGGTCGAGACTCGATTATTTACAGACCGCAGTCATATAGTTGGAATACAACTGATTGCGGCGTTAAACAACAAACGTTTAAACATGAAGAAAATACCCAATGTAAACAATCCTGATGTCACATTAGTCAATATATGTCTTGGCGGCACGGGCAACGCTTTGCGTGTTGTGGAGTTTTGTCAGACAATAATTAAGAGTACCAACAAAGAAATCATGAAACGTTTAACCAATCGTTTTGTATATTCTTTAGCATATGTTCCATTTAAAACTATATGAGTTGAAATCCTCGGTCAAATTAAAGTAAACAAATTAGTTAACCGATGTAGAGAACAAGGGTTACACAGAATGACATTACATAGTAACTGTTATCCGATGTAGAGAACAAGGGTTACATAGAATGACATAACATAGTAACTGTTATCCGATGTGGAGAACAAGGGTTACACAGAATGACATTAGATAGTTAACCGATGTAGTGAACAAGGGTTACATAGAATGACATTACATAGTAACTGTTATCCGATGTAGAGAACAAGGGTTACACAGAATGACATTACATAGTAACTGTTATCCGATGTAGAGAACAAGGGTTACACGGAATGACATTACATAGTAACTGTTATCCGATGTGGAGAACAAGGGTTACACGGAATGACATTACATAGTAACTGATATCCGATGTAGAGAACAAGGGTTACACAGAATGACATTACATAGTAACTGTTATCCGATGTGGAGGACAAGGGTTACACAGAATGACATTACATAGTAACTGTTATCCGATGTAGAGAACAAGGGTTACACAGAATGACATTACATAGTAACTGTTATCCGATGTGGAGAACAAGGGTTACACAGAATGACATTAGATAGTTAACCGATGTAGAGAACAAGGGTTACACAGAATGACATTACATAGTAACTGTTATCCGATGTGGAGAACAAGGGTTACATAGAATGACATGACATAGTAACTGTTAACCGATGTAGAGAACAAGGGTTACACAGAATGACATTACATAGTAACTGTTATCCGATGTGGAGGACAAGGGTTACACAAAATGACATTACATAGTAACTGTTATCCGATGTGGAGAACAAGGGTTACACAGAATGACATTACATAGTTAACCGATGTAGAGAACAAGGGTTACACAGAATGACATTACATAGTAACTGTTATCCGATGTAGAGAACAAGGGTTACACAGAATGACATTACATAGTAACTGTTATCCGATGTAGAGAACAAGGGTTACACAGAATGACATAACATAGTAACTGTTATCCGATGTGGAGGACAAAGGTTACACAGAATGACATTAGATAGTTAACCGATGTAGTGAACAAGGGTTACACAGAATGACATTACATAGTAACTGTTATCCGATGTAGAGAACAAGGGTTACACAAAATGACATTACATAGTAACTGTTATCCGATGTGGAGGACAAGGGTTACACAGAATGACATTACATAGTAACTGTTATCCGATGTAGAGAACAAGGGTTACACAGAATGACATTACATAGTAACTGTTATCCGATGTAGAGAACAAGGGTTACATAGAATGACATTACATAGTAACTGTTATCCGATGTGGAGGACAAGGGTTACACAGAATGACATTAGATAGTTAACCGATGTAGTGAACAAGGGTTACACAGAATGACATTACATAGTAACTGTTATCCGATGTAGAGAACAAGGGTTACACAGAATGACATTACATAGTAACTGTTATCCGATGTAGAGAACAAGGGTTACACAGAATGACATTACATAGTAACTGTTATCCGATGTGGAGGACAAGGGTTACACAGAATGACATTACATAGTAACTGTTATCCGATGTAGAGAACAAGGGTTACATAGAATGACATTACATAGTAACTGTTATCCGATGTGGAGGACAAGGGTTACACAGAATGACATTAGATAGTTAACCGATGTAGTGAACAAGGGTTACACAGAATGACATTACATAGTAACTGTTATCCGATGTGGAGGACAAGAGTTACACAGAATGACATTAGATAGTTAACCGATGTAGTGAACAAGGGTTACACAGAATGACATTACATAGTAACTGTTATCCGATGTGGAGGACAAGAGTTACACAGAATGACATTAGATAGTTAACCGATGTAGTGAACAAGGGTTACATAGAATGACATTACATAGTAACTGTTATCCGATGTGGAGAACAAGGGTTACACAGAATGACATTACATAGTTACTGATATCCGATGTAGAGAACAAGGGTTACACAGAATGACATTACATAGTAACTGTTATCCGATGTGGAGAACAAGGGTTACACAGAATGACATTAGATAGTAACTGTTATCCGATGTAGAGAACAAGGGTTACACAGAATGACATTACATAGTAACTGTTATCCGATGTGGAGGACAAGAGTTACACAGAATGACATTAGATAGTTAACCGATGTAGTGAACAAGGGTTACATAGAATGACATTACATAGTAACTGTTATCCGATGTGGAGAACAAGGGTTACACAGAATGACATTACATAGTAACTGATATCCGATGTAGAGAACAAGGGTTACACAGAATGACATTACATAGTAACTGTTATCCGATGTGGAGAACAAGGGTTACACAGAATGACATTAGATAGTAACTGTTATCCGATGTAGAGAACAAGGGTTACACAGAATGACATTACATAGTAACTGATATCCGATGTAGAGAACAAGGGTTACACAAAATGACATTACATAGTAACTGTTATCCGATGTGGAGAACAAGGGTTACACAGAATGACATTACATAGTAACTGTTATCCGATGTAGAGAACAAGGGTTACATAGAATGACATTACATAGTAACTGTTATCCGATGTAGAGAACAAGGGTTACACAGAATGACATTACATAGTAACTGTTATCCGATGTGGAGAACAAGGGTTACACAGAATGACATTACATAGTAACTGTTATCCGATGTGGAGAACAAGGGTTAAACAGAATGACATTAGATAGTTAACCGATGTAGTGAACAAGGGTTACACAGAATGACATTACATAGTAACTGTTATCCGATGTAGAGAACAAGGGTTACACAGAATGACATTACATAGTAACTGTTATCCGATGTAGAGAACAAGGGTTACACAGAATGACATAACATAGTAACTGTTATCCGATGTGGAGGACAAAGGTTACACAGAATGACATTAGATAGTTAACCGATGTAGTGAACAAGGGTTACACAGAATGACATTACATAGTAACTGTTATCCGATGTAGAGAACAAGGGTTACACAAAATGACATTACATAGTAACTGTTATCCGATGTGGAGGACAAGGGTTACACAGAATGACATTACATAGTAACTGTTATCCGATGTAGAGAACAAGGGTTACACAGAATGACATTACATAGTAACTGTTATCCGATGTAGAGAACAAGGGTTACATAGAATGACATTACATAGTAACTGTTATCCGATGTGGAGGACAAGGGTTACACAGAATGACATTAGATAGTTAACCGATGTAGTGAACAAGGGTTACACAGAATGACATTACATAGTAACTGTTATCCGATGTAGAGAACAAGGGTTACACAGAATGACATTACATAGTAACTGTTATCCGATGTAGAGAACAAGGGTTACACAGAATGACATTACATAGTAACTGTTATCCGATGTGGAGGACAAGGGTTACACAGAATGACATTAGATAGTTAACCGATGTAGAGAACAAGGGTTACATAGAATGACATTACATAGTAACTGTTATCCGATGTGGAGGACAAGGGTTACACAGAATGACATTAGATAGTTAACCGAAGTAGAGAACAAGGGTTACATAGAATGACATTACATAGTAACTGTTATCCGATGTGGAGGACAAGGGTTACACAGAATGACATTAGATAGTTAACCGATGTAGTGAACAAGGGTTACACAGAATGACATTACATAGTAACTGTTATCCGATGTGGAGAACAAGGGTTACACAGAATGACATTACATAGTAACTGTTATCCGATGTAGAGAACAAGGGTTACACAAAATGACATTACATAGTAACTGTTATCCGATGTGGAGAACAAGGGTTACACAGAATGACATTACATAGTAACTGTTATCCGATGTGGAGAACAAGGGTTACACAGAATGACATTACATAGTAACTGTTATCCGATGTGGAGGACAAGGGTTACATAGAATGACATTACATAGTAACTGTTATCCGATGTGGAGGACAAGGGTTACACAGAATGACATTAGATAGTTAACCGATGTAGTGAACAAGGGTTACACA